GAGTGAACTGCTTAACCTGTTCTCGCTATTCGACTCTGACAAGGCAGCGAGACACAAAGCGCGAAGAAGAGAGGGGAGGCGAGAGCACTACGAATGAGCATACGCAATCCGTGGATGAGGAAAAATTGAAGAAGTCGTCCACAATGCTTTAGCGTCCTTGTCGCGTATTTCCGAGCTGGGAGAACGGGTCATCTACGACCAGGGACAGCCTCATCCTGCCAACCGAAAGATTTCCCATCCGAGTAGTCTATGTGTTTCGTGGATGTGTCTCTAAAATGGGTTTCTTTCGTTACTCTCCGTACAAGAACAATTGAGTAAACTGCTCAGAAGAAAACCAACCTTTGTTTTGGACTTATATATGAGTCCAATACAAAACAGATCGTCGTTAATGGATTTTTACTTTGCAGGACGTCAATGACAATTCACCTCATTTCGTTGGTGCTCAACCAATTCGTCTAAGGCTCAGCGTTGACAACCTCGATCAACTGACTGCAAACATGGTCATCGGTAAGTTGTCCTTGATTGGATTCGCTGATAAAAGTCCAAGTTTGAGGAAGTAATGGAATCATTCCGAAATCCTTTCAGGTAAAGTAACGGTTGAAGATCCAGATGCTGACGACAATGGACGACTGGAGCTCCGAGTCGCTTCAGACATGAACAGGTGACACAATTCTAGAATTGTCCGCTAACCACTCTTGAAGTGATCTTATAACGTATTCATCTATTTGTCATTGGTGGTGACTAGTTCTACCTAAAGGCCGATGTCAGACTTTGCGAATCGCGCGATTCGCTAGCGTCCGCGGTCGCGTTGCGGTACCAGCCAATTGAGTGATTCACTGGCCGCGACGCGACCGCAGACGCTAGCGAATCGCGCGATTCGCAAAGTCTGACATCGGCCTAAGCAGCCTTGAAGAGGAACATGCACAGAATTGCACTTATAAAATTCCTATAGGACACTAACCACACCAACGAGCTACACTTACTTGTAACAGTAAAACTTTGGAAAGCCGGATTCAGTAGAAGTTCACTACAGTAACTACGAGAGAAGTGCTTTATGCCCTATCGACGGCAGCCTCCGTCGATAGGGCATGAAGTCCATGAAGGGGCATGCCAGCAACGTGGTGATGTATAATACTTTTGGAGCGTGTAGATAGATTATTGAACAATTTAACGTGCCGGTGCAGCGCTTGTGCGAAGCTACCGTTGCAGGACAAAACGGTAGAATAGTCAAGTGTGATAAGCTAGTCATGTTTTGGCTTCAGTTTCAGCTTAGCAGTTACATTGCTACCGGCCTTCATTAGAGTGTGATCGTGATGAACACTAAAACTGATTAGATATTGATCATAATTATTTTCAGGCTATTCACTGTCTCGAATGATGGCGTTGTGGCTATCAACGGCGACTTCACCGCTGCCCATTTCGGTGAGCACCGACTGTTTATCGTGGCACGGGATCACGGAGATCCTCCCAGGGAATCAAAGGCCGAAGGATAACATCGTGAGATCGTCGGCCACTCTGATCACACATGGCCACTGAATTTGCCAACGGGAAAAGCTGCGTCGACCTCTTTCGCCTTAGTGAACTGTTATCATCTTCAGACAATTCTTTTCAGTAAATTTTTTTATAGCCTTTGGTCCATTTGCTTGGCAAAAGAACACTTCATTTCAAAAAACGAGGGTCAGGATCAAATAAATGTTGTTGTCCTAGTCGATAATGAAAGTAGGGACTCGAGGCGCGGCCGCAATAGGAGGAAAAAAAAGAGAAAGAACCCCTCCGAACTGCAGAAAATACAGACCTTATGGTTCTATTCCACAGGAATGGCTCAGAAGGGGTGGCGCGAATTCAAGTCCTAGCGGGAGCCCGAACCTAGCTTCTTCTTCTTCTTATTCTTTAGCGTCTGTCCCGCTTGTAGGCGGGGTCCGCTTTTCTGATGTGTTGACGCCACTTCTCCCGATTGAATGCTTGATCGGGGTGGATGTTAACGCTCTTCAAGTCTTCGTGCAACGTGTCGAGCCATCGCTGCTTCGGGCGTCCTCTAGGCCGCTTTCCGCGCACGTCAAGGTTGAGACCGATCTTACGGACACTGTCCTCATTCGCGCGAAGAACATGTCCATACCATCGGAGACGGGCTTCGCGCATTTTATCAACAATCGGAGCTACACCGAATCGCTCCCTGATGACATCATTACGAATGCGATCTAATCGTGTGACTCCGGCTGTCCAGCGGAGCATCTTTGTCTCCATCACACCGAGACGGGCTTCAACTTCTTTGGTCGCAGGCCAGCACTCAGCACCGTAAATGGCGACCGGCCGGATGACGGTTCTATAGATCTTGGATTTGAGACGCTCAGGTATATTCTTATCGCAGAGAACGCCAGTCATCGAGCGCCATTTCAACCAGGCTGCATTCACGCGAGAATTCGTTTCCACGACCAGGGCTGCCGTCAGACGCAATTGCTGATCCCAAGATACTTGAATGTTGTTGTACGTGTGAGCTCAGTACCATTGATCTTAATAGAGCCTGGCTCACTCGGATCGGTGGTCAAGTACTCTGTCTTTTTGACATTCAACCTGAGTCCGAACATAGCTAGACGGTCGGACCAGGTTTGCACCTGTTGCTCAAGCGTGCTTTTATCTTCGCTAGCGAGCATCACGTCATCAGCATAAAGAAGCGTCCATGGTACCGGCTTCTGGAGATCTTTTGTAATGGCATCCATGACGACAACAAATAGCAGTGGGGATAACGCAGAGCCTTGGTGTACTCCGACAGAGATGGGAAAATCCGTCGATGTGCCCGCGGCCGTTTGCACTCGGCTCTTTGGACTCGAGTACAGGATGCGCACCCACTCAATAAGCTCTTCGGGAACGCCATGCTGTCGTAAAGCATACCATATAACGTCACGTGGAACGCGATCGAAAGCCTTCTCCAAGTCTAGAAAGGCAAGATGTATCGGCTTTTGTTTTTCGCGATGCTTTTCTAGCAGAAGGCGAGCGGCGTAGTATAGGCAAGCGATCTAGCGCCGTGTATGGCATCGATGGTGCTGCAACCAGCAACAAAACCACACTGGTTGGTGGTCAGCTCGACGACGTCACGGATACGACTGTCTACAATTCGCTCAAAGATTTTCATGCTGTGCGAGAGCAGGCGAATTGGACGGTAGCTAGTGCAGTCTCAGGACTGCCTTTTTTCTTCCAGATTGGAATCGTCGTGCTCTTGTTGCCAGCTCTCAGGCACCTTCTTCTCTGCAACGACTGGGTTGAAGAACTCCGTCAACCACTTCTGCAGGATTCCAGCACTTTGATTTCCACAAGTCCGCCGCTAAGTCGTCAGGACCAGTCGCTTTGCCTGATTTCATCTTCTTCATAGCCGTAATGGTCTCCTCCATGGTTATCTTCTGAACGGGGCCGTGTACTGGCGGAGCGCAAGGGATGGCGGGATGAGCAAATTCGACTGTTGAGATGTTCTCGAAGTATTCACACCATCGCTTCAATGCTTTCTCGCGGTCCGTCAGAAGGTGACCATTCGCATCATTTATGCCGAAGAACTTTTCTATATCCTCGGTCTGGCGATAGCGGGTCTTTGCGAGTCGGTAAATGTACCGTTCACCATCGCGCGACTCGAGTTTCTCATTGAGATCGGCAAAATGAGCTGCTTTCGCAGAAGCAACGGCCTTCTTTGCCTCTTTCTTCGCTATCTGATAGCGCTGCCAGCAACCGGCTGTCTTCTCCGAAAGAAAAGCGTGGTAGCGCTTTTTCTTCTCTCTTACTTTCTCTCTAACTTGATCCGTCCACAGCCATGTTTGCTTATCAACCTTTCTCCGTCCAGGCTTCGTCATGCCGAGCTCGGATCGCGCAACCTGGGTGATCGCTTCGGCAGCACCTTTCCAAGTTTCGTCGACAGTCGTTACCGCTGGCAATCGAATGCGGGAAACGACGGCCGCTTCTTTCTCCTTCAGTCGCCACCACTTGATTCTCGCTGGCCCACATCTTTCGGCTAGTTTCGGTCTCGGTGGGGCGATTTTTAGCGTACAAATCAATGGTCGGTGTTGTGTGACGACCGTTTCATAAGGTACTACTTTTGCGTCCGTTACGAGCCCTTGATCACGGTGCCTAACAAGGACGAAATCGATTTGTGTTCTGGTTTTACCGCTATAGAATGTGATAAGATGTGAGTCACGTTTTCGAAATTTCGTGTTTACTATGGCGAGATTATGCGAGTCTGCATATTCAAGAATTCGTTCGCCATCAGTATTACGTGACCCATAACCAAAACCACCATGACAGCTATAACCGTCTTTCGTAGCGCCCACGTGGCCATTGAGGTCACCGGCAACAATTATGGCTTCTTGTGACGGTACCTCAGCTGTCTTCTCATCAAGCAGGTTCCAGAACTTGTCCTTGTTTTGCTCGGAGCATCCAGTCTGCGGAGCGTACGCAGAGAAGAAATGGTATTTTTGATGTTCCATGACGACAACGATCTTCATTAAACGGTCGTCGAAGCGCTCCACACTTACTATCGAATCACGAAAGCGTTCAGAGACAATCATCCCGACGCCATTGGTGGTTCTGGGACCGCCACATAGAACGGCTTTGAAGCCGCGGCCAATGTCCCTCGACTTGCAGCAGGACCACCTCGTTTCCTGCACGGCACAGAAATCAATTCTTCGGCGCTCCAGAGCTTCTGCTAACTCGTGCGAGCGTCCCGTTAACGTGCCAACATTTAACGTCGCAACGCGAGTCTTCCATACGTTGCGGGACTTTTGGACTAGCCTAGTTGCCCCCCGATGCCGTCCTTGCACCGGAGACCCTCGCATACTTTTCACACTCGCCGGGCTTTGCGAGTGCGCGTCGGCTCCCGCGGACGCCGTAGCATTATCTCGAGATACTTGTAGCGACATTGACATTGTGATGTGACTTGGGTGTTCGTAGGCCGGCCTGTCACGGGGGCCTGTCGCCTGCATTCGAATGTCCGTGGTCGGCTCAGCTCACAAAAGTGAGCAGTTTCCAGTGGCACCACTTGGAGGAACGGACATCACCACCGAGAAGCCGAAATCTAGGTGCATACTAGAAACGCACAACAGTTGATTTTGCAAACTCCGACGCTCATCCACATGTATAATATATGTTAGTATATGGTGAAGCGACAGGTCGTTAGGCGACAATTATGGGTTATTACGGATAACAAAAAATTCTGACAACCTCCGCGGAGGACTCGAACTCAATACCTCGTGCTTGCTGGGTAACACGGATTCCCTTATTCACCATAGAAACCATTATTTTTTCGATCAATAAACATATAATAATAATAATATAATTCAATAATATTTTATCTTTTTACCATATCCACCTCAACGTTCCGATGTTTCAGAGTGAGACGTTTGAGTACACGAACTCAGCAGAAGAGGAGTCACCAACACAAACTGACTACTACTTCCAGTCCATTACGACGGTTCCCTCCAACATAACACAGTGTTTGGGCGATTCTTTGTACCGCTTGTGTACGCTTAAGCCTATTCTGACCGATTCAGATGATGGCCACAGAAAATACCACAATCCTGAAAATGTTGTCAGTCAAGGGGAATTTCCGCAGTAGTGCTTTCCATAACACCCTTATCACCTGAAGGTTCCTAAGAGCTTCCTTTAAATCGAACTTCCAGGGGTGTTTTTCCAAAATGTGCGAGCAACAAATGAACGTTGAACCAGGATAAGCTCCGAAGGTCGAAAAAAAAAGGATAAATAAACCTATTCGAGAGGCAGGCGAGCTCACTAAAGGTGCTACGCGTGTTTGCAGCGAGTAGTATGCCCCAGCAGCCAAGCAGGGCCATAGTCGCACAGCTCGCACCCCTGCACGAGGTAGCCCTCGCGTCTGATTCTAGCCATTCGGCAGAGAGAGCGTTGGCCATGAAGAGAGCAGCGCCAATGAGAGTTGCATCATCGCGGAAGTCAACGGGCACGGATGGTCCAGTTTCTCATTGTTCTCGATTTCTTCATTATCTCTGCATCTATGTCCACCTTCGAAATAGAATACCTTGATTTCTAGCGAAATCCTTTTCATGATGTCCGCTTTGGATATTGTAGAAAAAATCATTCTTTAGCGTATAAGATAGAAGGTTACGGGAGAATTACATCTACATTCATTCATTTCTTTCTCTTTCAGCTTTCTCTTCGTTCCCGTCACCTTCACCTGTGCCGATGCCACCAACCGTCTCAGTCTTCACCACCGAACTATACTGTAAGTGCATTTAATAGAATTGTTTCTTTACTGACTAAATGTTTTCGACTTGATTCATGAAGAACAACTGGCACATTTCTTCTCCGTAATCCCTTTTGGAAAAAATGGGATTACAGAGAAGAAACGTGCCAACTCTACCAAAAACGGTCATTTCATTTTTTTCGGATAAAATTGGCCGAAGCGGCTCGTTTCACAAGAGCAAGCTTCAGCGGGCTTGGATCCACGGGAGACCTGATCTGATCTCCCAAACAAAGAGGCACC